GTATATTTTCTTTTTCTTTGCTATATTCTTATTTTTTCTTTTCTATTTTTCTTTCTATTTTTTCTTTTTATTCTTTTATTTTTTTTAGTTTGGATTAGTTTTTATCTTTTTAATTATAATTTTTAATAACATTACTATTAAAAAAAAAGAAACTAGACAACCATCTGTAAGGGATGCTTTAATTTGGATTCCTGCATCAAGGAGGGATTGGACTTGATAATCCAAATGGACCCTTTCAACTCTGTGAGTCTATGAAGAATAACAATTTCGTGGCATGGTAGTCAAGGACAAGACATGGTTTCCCAAGCTTGGATAGCAGTCTGCATCATCTTTCCCTCTTTTCTGGATGATATCCAGCATTTAGCTGATAGAGAGGGCAAACCATTTGGACTTCCACTAAAATCTGTTAGAGAAATTGGATTTTATATATTGCTTTACAGGCAACTGAGGGTCTGACCCATAAGCAGCCATAATATAATTTCCTCCCAGAAGAGAACTGTATGGTCCAGAGGAGGTTCAGGATGGTTTGAACATTCCAGAGCTCTCCTTTTCCAATTGATAAATCATGCACATCCCTCGCTTCGGTGAAGTCCTGATTTCCATACTGGAAATTGGGTAAACAACCTACTCTAGATAGCCTTGCACTTGCCTTCAAAGAATTGGAGACAGATACATCTTTATGTATTTGTCACTTTGTTATACTTGCTGCTTATATGTAGCACTAATCCTCTTCTGTTAACCAAATTTCAGTCTCCAAATTTGTTGCATCTTACCCATAGTTGTTCATCTACCATATTTTATTTCCATTAATCTCTTCTGTAAGAATCTGAATTTTCAATTCAAAGTGCAGATTATTCAATTTTAGATAAAATCACTTTTCCCCCCAAAGAACTCTCTTTATAGTTAGCATAGCCTTTCTCAGTTAAATAAATAAATGATTTTCTACTTTCACTAAGTGAAAGAAACATGAACAGACAACGTTCAGAAACTGCAATTAGTAATTACCAAATTATTTCCCTATTTCTTCAGACTGCCATTTTTTTCCTAGTTCTGTTTCTGCCTTTGCAGATGTGTTATGCTGCTGGAAATACTACTGTCAAGCAGATTCTGGAGGGCGGGAGCTATGTATCATGGCCCATATTTTCTTTGCCTCTCAAATGGTTTATGATTCAGTTCATTTTGGTAGTATAGTGACTAACTGGTAGCCCACTGCTTCATTTAAACAGAGCCGCCAGCCAGATTGTTGAGTGTGGAGTTACGAGTGTGCAAGGAGGAGCTCTTTAGTGTCAAGGAGATGGCTGTGTTGAGGTTTCCTTGGAAGATGCAGTTAAAAGACTGTATAAATTGTACTATAGCAAGATTTCTTTTCTAGATTTCTGTCTGTGATGTGTTGAGACTTCTCTCAAAGCATCAGAAGCAGCACTGGGAATTCCACACCCATCATTAGAAGTAGTCTGTGTCTGTGTGTTTGGTGACTGTTATCATTAGTAGTATAATTTTATTTTGCAAAGTGAAGAGAGTTTTCTGCATTTTTTGTTTCCTTCCCTGGAGATGGTTGGTATATTAATTTGCTGTATTGCCTCCTGGCTGTTCCCAGGCTGTTTTTGATTCTACATCATGGAATTTTAATGGCCTGCTGCCTCTCGGGAGGCATGTGACGAAGAGCATCTCAGGGGCTTCTTTTCCTTCTCTTCACATGCCTGTAATTGCTGCTCTTTAAGGGCATAAAGCATTTACTAATCATGCTTGCCTATCATAGCTTCTGTTTTGACTGTGCTCTGTAGTGGAAAAGATGAAGAAGTTGGCACTGAGAACTCTACTCTGCATTATTTTTCAGTTTCAAGTATATGAACTGCATTGCAATAGCAGACTTTATTTTTTCCCCCATGATATGAGTATTATCTCATAATATAATGCCCCCTTTTGCTAGGATGATTCCGACTTTCCTTTACATAACTAGTGAGCCATAGCTTAAGCTTTGGCTTATATAGTGCTTAATAGTTGGTAAGTTTCCCAAGCAGAGTCAGTGTCTGTTGAGACCCTTAACACAAAGAACAGAGAAAAGTAAGAATTTGGGCTCACTGGATGATCAGTTGGATCCAAGATAGGTGAAGGTAATATGAGCATTTGGCTCTGTCAGTAGAGATAATGAAATGAATCCGTTGGACAGATACTGTTGTACTGAGTCAGGTGTTAAGTATTTTTCAGTACCCCTAGAAAATGCTTCCGATCTTAAGGAAGATATTAATTGTTTAGCCACTCAGAGAAAAAAAATCTTTACTTGTCCCTGCAGATGGGTCTGTTAGATACTGGTACTGTAATACATGCTGCAAAGTTGGAGGGAATTAATCACATGGGTAATTGTTGGTTAATTACCCATACATTTTGATTATTAGCTTTGTATGGCTGAGTTAAAGGGCAGGGAGAAAAAGGTAGCATTTTTGTTTCACTAGACCATTTGATTTGCCATTCAGGAGTAGACAAGCTTTTGAATTGCATGTAATTTTATACCTGGGCACTTGTCCATGCTGATAAATGAGCTATTTCTTCTATACAAATATGTGATTATTGAATTGATTGGATGAAGAACTTGCACTGGTTTCTATCTGCAGTGTGCAGATCAGACATGGTTGCTCAGCTACCTGGTGTCATTTCAAAGAGGTAGAAGATCTCTGTTCTCACTATTAACTTTGACCTTTGAAGGCATCAGAAATAGCCCCAGGTGGTACCTCAAGGCTTAGAAAAGGTATCTTTTATGCTGCCTGCTGTGGATGCAGTGTGTACAACAGCAATAGCTGAGCTGAATACTGTCTCAGTGTCAGTCCAATACCCTTGATAGGAAGAATTTCTTCTTAATGGTCCCTTCCCATGAAGATAGCTGAATGATTTGTTTAAAAGACAACTAGTTATCCTCTATTACACCCTTTTGTAGTGCAATTCCATTAGTATAGTTCATATAATTTGTTCATGTTCTTTAAAATATTTCAATTGGTGCTTTCTGGTAAAAAATTAAGATAGAATTATTTTTGTAATGTCTGTCATTCTGCTTTCTGATTGTGAGATAATTAAAGACCCTTCAACTGCATTTGTATGTAGATTTAAAAGATGTATATCTTGGATCTTTTGAAAAATGTTATTGTTGTAGCTCAGGTTCAGTATTACATTAAGAAAGGACTTATTTCTCACTTCCAATGGAATACTTGTATGATTATTATTCTGAGTGTTAGTTGCAACTAAACATAACTTCTAAGAAGGGGACTCTTACTCATTGTTCAGAGATGTTGTTGATGTTCTGGCCCAATGCTGGAGCATTGTTCTACCTTACAGTTGGCAGTGTGCTAGTTCTCTACAAGTGTGCTAGTTCTCTACAAGTGTGCTAGTTCTCTACAATAGTGTAAGAATGCTAATTAATTATCAGAAAAGTAAATAAACTCCCCCTTGCATATTTCCATTGCTCTTTAACCTATCCATTGATATACCAAATATGCTTAAATTTAATAGAAGTACTTTATTATAGGAATGTCCAATTCTTACTATGCTAAACAATCAGGTTCCTTCTTTACAGTTAAAAGCAGGACATCTGAATTAAGAATAAAGCTTGTAGTCAACAGCCATTGCTGCTGTTGTTACTTTGTGGATAGCAGAAGTAGGTGAGAGAGTGTAGGCTGGAGGCTGTGCATTAATTTTTCACACAGTGTAAGCTTGAGATGCAATCTGTCATACTGAGGACCACGTGGGATGCAGGCCAGAAGTGGTATAAGCCTTGTGTTCTGTGTCTAGCCTGGCTGGCACACCTCATAAAATAGCACAGGGCCCCAATGCATTGATGTCTGGGATATGCTCTTATTTTACATGAGAAAAGAACCTGCCAGCATAACCTATTTATTGCATTTGGAGACATACGAGATGCTTAGAATGGGGGTTGTTGACAACTGGCTGTAAGTTGGTCATCTTGAGTGTACAGTGCTGAATTCTAAGTGATTACTCATTGCATCACAGTGTTTCTTGGAAACTTGGCAGGATAGATAGTATATGAACAAAGAAAAATGTTTTACTGTCATTTTGTTCCTGTCACCTCAAATAACCTTTTCTGTATTTTATTGGTTATTTTTTATTTGTATATGAATTAGATACCATATAATACATATACAAATAAGATCTAACAACCAACAAAAGTTTATGTTCCAGTTGGATTTTAGATACGGAATTAAATTTGGTAATAGAATTGTTATTTTCAGGAATAATTTTATATTGCACATGAGAGACAATGTGGATTACTTTGGTATAAGTACAAAATAAATAAAACTATTATTGTGCTTTTGCAGAAGCAATAGAAATAGACATTTTATATAGTTTCAAGTTCAGACTACTGTGTACAGGTGAAACTCGAAAAATTAGAATATCGTGCAAATGTTCATTTATGTCAGTAAGGCAACTCAAAAGGTGAAAC